TGAAGACCAACTTTCTTCAATGCTACGGCTTAAGTTAGATTGTTCTATCTGTGTTGTTGCTGGCGACTTCAATAGAAGAGATACAACATACTTGAAGACAATTGGCTTGGTAGACCTAGTGACTATTTCGACCAGACAAGATGCCTAGTTTGACGCTGTGTTCACAAATAAACGACAGCTGTTTGCCATACAAAAGCGGGCTCCTTGGAGCAGCTCAGACCGTTGTATTTTAAAAATGTGTCCAGTCATATACAACAGGTCTAACTTTTTAACGCTGACCATACGTCTTTACAAGATTATAAAGTGGCGAAATTGCTCCTTGGAAAATATCACGAGACTCCAGATGACGTTTTCTTTAAGTGATTTTTCGGTCTTCAACGATGAGGACCTGTTGATCGAATGTGACGATCTTACGGACTATATCAAATATTGCTTTGACATGTCCTGTTGAAACGATCTACCTAAGAGCAGATAGATTTTCATCACCACTACTTAAGCGACTTCGAAGGATGAAAGAATGGGTCTACAAGTGCAAGAATGCTACCCGTGTCAAAAGCCTAACCACGGTAATTAAATCAGGAATAATAAGACTAAACCAATTATACATCGAAGCAGTTCTAGACAACCATAACTGTCGCGAACTGTAGGGGCTTCTGAGGCAGCCCTGTAGTAAAAGCGTTTTCAGCCAGAGAAATGAAGTGGATGCCGATAAACTGAATTCGGAGTTTAGTTCCGAGTCCCTAAGCTCATCTTCATCAGCTCAAGTCCAATCGCGCCCTTCGATCAAACCAACGTCAACAAGGAACTCAAAAGATTGAAGGTAACCAATGCTTGTGGTCCAGATGCTCTCACACCATTAGCTTTGAAGGAGTGTGCTAATTCTCTTACACTGCCTCTGACAGACCTCTTTAACAAATGCCTCACTACGGGTGTGATTCCGGACATTTGGAGAACGGTCAGTATCACTGCAGTACCAAAAGCTGGATTTCAAAAGTATCGCCCAATTGCAAATACATCTGTGCTCTTAAAAGTTTTCGGATTTTTCAGCCGCTCCTGATGATATCTACCAGTATGCCTATTGATCCTAGTGCTACACATTGGATGCAGTGGCATATGTTGTCCATTCCATAGCCTCTGCATTAGATCAAAAATGTAAATCCGTACGGCTTCTCTTCTTGGATTACTCGAATGCCTCTGGAAGCCTGGATAGGTCAAGATTGCTAAACCTGCTATCCGAAAGTGGAGTTCACCCTAGTGTGTAATCTGTTGCGTGACTATTTGACAGATCGTACTCACTTCACCAAGTTGAACGGTAAGAAATCCTTTGTCCTTCGTGCCGACTGTGGTGTTCTACAACGAGCGATCCTATGACCTTTTCTATTTTCCTTGTATGTTGAACACCTCCCTATGCAAACCGTGTTTACAGTGTAAATATGCTGATAATGTGCTGGGATGTATGTCCCCCACTAACCAGGATTCCTCATCACTTCAACGTGGGTTGGAAGATCTGGTGAAATGGTCTTCATCCAGATCTCTTACGCGTAATGCTTCTAAATGCAGGGATGTAATATTTTCCTTTCTACTTGGCGATAAGTTGCATTCCCTCATAGATTTCTCCTCCACAGTTACTGTGAATGAAAATCCCATACCCATCTCTTCCACCGTCGAGTATCTCGGCGTTTTTTGTCCCAGAACATTTCTCGGTTCACGCACGTATGTAAAACATCTCAAAAATCAGAACTTTATTTCTATGCCCTCAGACTTAAGGTGGTTTCAGTGTCTCGTACTTTAATATTCAGGTTGGTGACCTCTTATATACTGCTCTCCTGTCATTTTCCCTAGACTACTTCAGAAAGACTACATCTTATTGGTGCGATCTATAAAGCACATTTCTAGATACAGCGGCTTGTCTATAGACTCTAGTTGATTTGGTCATTTCTAGACATCTTGATGCCTGCAATGACTTTTTTCTAAGATCCTAAGTGACCGATTCCATACACTTCACAGTGATCTTTCCAAAACGCTCCCCTTCTCTTCTACTCGTTCGAAATTCCGAATTTTATTCTCCCACATGTCATCGTATCGTAATACTGTTTTGCCTTATCTCTCACGTTTGTTTGACACAGCAAAAGTCACTAACATTCTGCGCAAGTGCTCGTTGGAGTAACAGTACTGCTTTTTCCCCATTTTTCTACCGAAGTATGTGGATTGATATTATCATCTAGTTGTCCGCAGTGGTGGTGTAAATGCTGAAAATGAATCCATTAGGGTTCATAAAGCTTATTTTGACTTGACTTGTAGTGGGACATCTGGGCTATTCCTGTCGAAATGCTTCTTTCTATCATCAACATGAAGAAATCCGCGAGTACATAGCCGTCGATTTGGCGTGTTATGAAAATGCAAGTCAATTTTCTCCGTGCACATTGACTGTGACTTCCTCAGCAATTCAGTCGAAATTGCTAATGAACAGCCAGAGCTTTCAGCTAATTCCCAAATGTAGTCGACAGTCTGACGTGGTGGGAGGTTGATGAATAAAGATCCTACATTCAGGGAACAAATGACTCTGTCTGACAGGGTGCGTGCATACAGGTCACCAATGAGTTAGAATGAATCCTTAAGACTATATGGATCATGTCGTTGTCTCAGCGCAGTAAGCACTTTCACTATCCAATGAGCCGAGTTATGCTACGGCGCGTTCATCATTGGAAGAATCCGCCTGAGTGGCAATCCACTCTTATGGTTATCCATATAACTGGGGAGTAGTGCTACCACTGGGATTCAAACTATTAATTGTCTATCACACGATGAAAGAACAATTCAAGGTGACGAATTATGCGCGTTTCGACATTGGTTATGTCCCCAGTTTCCTGAGTCACTCAAATTTACTCGCGTCGATAAGTACGGGGCCCATTTTCTGATCAGGAACCTTTATCTGGTTTCATTATGACTACACCCTTAGCTCGTAGTTCACGTAAGGCTTGAAGATGTCGACATGTGAAAGCCCATTTTTACTAATTGGCACTGTTGTAATCTCGTGGTCTGCTGGATATACATACATACATCTGTGTGGAGGTGTTGGTCTATTTCTTGCGAGCACTAACTTCCAGCACGATACCCCCAGCACAAGATCCACGATAGAAGCGAATCGATTATATGGCCATCAGTTACCGCTAGAGATTGGGTTTAAGACTGCTGTTTAATTTAGAGCAAAAACGCGAGTCAATACCATGGACATGCATGCACTGATTTCAGCGGACGCTCGCGACGACGGTGAGTGCAGAGATGGTATTTAACCGGCGACCGCATACGTTGAGTGTCAACCTAAGTGCGCTGACATCCGAGCTAAGTAAGCACCTACTGAAGACGTTGGGAGGGCCGTGGCGGTATGTTTGTCGGGCGCTAGCAGCAATAATCATGTTTTCATGTAACAAATCGTTAGCAGCCTGGGCAATGGGTCTCTACGCAGTCCGAAATTTCTCGGTGCATGATGACACATTCCGAGTGGAAGCGAATACGGCATGAATCCAGAGCAAAACCTGATGGTAGTTTGAAACGAAAATGGAGTCTGGTGGTCCCATCGTATGTCAGAGAATAAGACGGCAGCTGACCTTAGCAACTATCGAAGCTATTCCGTCTAATATGAGAAACAGGCATCACGAGAACTGTTGCAAGAGTAACCATGTGATACAAGGGGACAGTCTATCCACAATCTGTCAAAATGCTTGGCTGAGTATTCTGAAAAGCGATTTCATCGACAAAAGCAGCAGCGCCCATAGCAGTGCCTAGTCTGGGCGCCCTAGTTTATTTTCGTTGAAAGGTGTTGGTAGCGCACTTGCAATGAATCTGAGAGTTCTACTCGTTTCAACATGAAGTGTAAGTAGAAGTTCATCACACCTAGACTGAACCATCACACGCTCGGAAAAGCACTGTACGGCGGATTCGTCCTTTCTGGAATCGTCAGCAGTGCGAATTCCATCAGACCCCTCGAACCCGCAACTACTGTTGATAGTCTGTAGTTGACACCAATGAGCTACGGGTGAGGGCAAAGCCCAGATTACTAGATGTAATATAGCACCGCTCACTATCTAGTACAGTGCTTTTCAAGGGGGTGTGATGACTGTCTGACCTAATCTATATGTGGTGAATTTCTACCTCCACCATTCAACTCCCAGAACTACTCATTTGTAAACAACATAAAGCGATGAAAGAATACTATTGTAGCTGCGATTATGGTCCCTTTAGATTTACCCATAGCAAAGATCAAAAGAAGAAATGCGAGAACCCTAGAGACAGTATCCTCATAGCAAGAATCCCTAAATTGCCCACAAACATCACAATTCCACGGCATTAGTAAAGCCCGTATTGACCAAGCATTAGCACTAAACCAAATGCTCGGAAGGCACAAAGACAAAAGTTATTCATTGTAGCCATTCCTGACTTGAAAACTACTTCTGATTCAATTGATCCTGCCAACTGGTGATGATGGATCAAGAAAGTCATTCCGGAAAATTCTGGTTCTGTTCCAAAATACGTATGCAGTAAATCGCACATCCATAGAAGACAGTATCGTGAATACACAACGACTGACAAAATTGGTCCGAGTTATCCTATTGAAGAAACGATGAATGATTGTTCTGCCTCCTCCAACATTATACGCTGTTAATCGACCGAAGGGTCAGGAGTAGGCGAATGATGTGTTGCGTCGCTGTCATATACCGGCTGTTGCATAACACTGAGCCGAATGACGTAAAGAACTTACCGCTTCTGCATTTGATTGGTGCCAATAATATGTTGCTGCAGAACGGAGTCGATACTTCACCACTTCTCGCCATAGCTAAGCTGTTACTCCGGATGACCCAACTGCTTACTTCTCTGGATAGCTACGCCACATAATTAGCGGACGAAGCAGTTACGAGGTGACAACATTAAATGATGAAGTTTATATGGCTTCTCAAAACTCAAGTGATTTATGGAGAGGATGGAGTATAGAAGTGCTGGTTCAGGTGTGAAAAATTGCAGTTTATTCGGTATTGCTTCACAAATCTACAAAAATGGCCACTGGGTATTGAAAAAAGGAAGAGAGGCATCCACAGTATACCAGCAAACCGCGTACCGACGCTTCACTGCCACACAACCACCACCGGTCACGCACGGGTTGGGTCTACCATGAGGTCACCCGCATCTACACGCGGATTCGAACCGGCGATCTCCCCATATTACAAGTTAAGTGTGTAATCCTTCCGACCACAGGCAAGCGGATAACTCGTCTTTAACCACTGGCGTCTGGGTAAAATTGCTCATGTACGGGGTGTCACACAGTGACTAATAGTGATGTTCGTTGGTCAGAATTTAGCAACAGAAACTCCGATGTCGGAGCAAAACTGTCTCCGTAAGCTTGGCCATGCATGTTGTGTGGCTATTAATCGCCACCTGTTGCATTTCCCCCTTTTGCTTTTATGCATTGCGGCACAGTAGCTGAGGTGTTTCCCACCTCTAGCTAACGTGTATAATGTGGCTACTAATCGCATACCAAATTATGAGCTAGTGACTATACTTCGAATGTTAGCGCGAAATCTCAGAGGCCAAAAAGTGAAATGGGAAAATGTATGGGAAAAACAAACTGAGAAGTGGGTCGACTATAATGAGCGCGCAATTAAATGGAGGCCTCAGGACAAATCATTGGGCTCCGTCCTGAAGAGAGTGGTGCTGCGGCTCACGATCTATGGATTCCTGACATAGGCGTTTCCATTCGACAACTTTTTCATCGTTCATTTTCTCTTTCCAGATGGACGTGTTTCTGTAACTGTGTTGTTTCATCTCAGCTCCAGTTATGTTACTGTTCGGATCAAAAACGACTGAAGGAACATAAGTCAGACGGCAGATGAAGATTTCGATCTGACGAAATGTTCTGGATGACCAGTAAAGCACGTATCATGTGCACACTAAGCTGTCAGCCTCAACAAAGCATACATCATTTAAGCAGGGAAGTTTGCAAGTATCCAAGGACGCGAATAGATGAGAGGAAACATCTATAAGCGGCAAACTCATAATCAGTCCTAGGATACGAGGGCTTACAAACCGAGGAAGTTAGGATGGAACGGTACTGCTCTCAGGGCCAGTTATATGTTGTGTCTCGCGGTGTAAACTAGGATGCCAACTTACCCGAAAATTCAAAACGGTGCCAAATATACTATTTGCTAACATTTGAGTAGTCACTATTATTTTAAATAGCCAACGGAACAAAAGGCACCGCGGAAGGCAGCAAACAGCACAATAACGATAGGTACGAATGAGCCATAAACGCTGAACAGAATTCAAGCGTGTGATATATATCACCACGATCTACATTATTGAATAAAAATTATTTTAAGGACCCAGGTCCAGAACGGACTAAAGGAACACCATCTGTCGAAGTCATTTAAAGGTGAGGGAAAATCAGTTAGGCGCAGTGGGATAAACGGATACAGTGTACTACAAATAGGCAGGAGGAACGCGTTCGACCTAGGAAAACTGAGCAAGAACTTTAGGTGCAGTATAGGTAGGAACAGTGATAATGATGAGGACGGGGTATGCCACAAGCAGACCAGCATGGTTTAATTTACACTAAAAAAAGAGAACGCTGCAAGGCTATGTGCACTGAAGTCGTGCGAAAGAGAAAACGTTCAATCTGGAAAACCCAAGATACAGCTACACTGATGACATCAAAGATGAGCATAAATAGTCACGTGGCAGTTTGTTCGGTTACTGCTGCGGATTAACAGATTCGCCATAGAGTAGAGTGAGGGGGCGGGGATGATGGGTAAAAATCAGAGCATGAAGAGAAAAGCGGTGTGGTTTCCGTACGACAATGTGACACCGCGAGCCAGTGCGGCGGAGCACATCGTATCCAGAAGCGTGCTAAAGGATAGGAGGAGCATGTTAGGGGTGGGGGGAAAGAAGCGAGCAACAAGACTAGCAAGAGAAATGGGTCGCGCCGTGGACACGGGTGTGAGGGTAATATGTGTGCACTACACAAATAGCACAGGCATTAACACGATCAGGACGATACACAACTGTGGCCCAAACCATTCCACCACCTCGGTAACCGACAATTTCAATTCGAACGAAAACAAGTCACGGGATAGGGTGCACGAATCAGTGAAGATTGATAAAAAAGGTGGATCATTCGTTTTCGAGCGGCCAAATTGCGTCCATATGAAGAACCGAGAAGGATATCTCGTTGAACTCCTCAACCACGTCTATTGCCAGTATCTTTTCGCCTGAAGCCCTACAAACAACCGAAGCAAAATAAAGCAGTGTGTAGCGAGAAACTATGTACATAGTTGGGGTCAGATGATACCGATCATGTGTCCAAAAAGGCTATGAATAGATGGAAGAAATGAATTGGGATACGGCGCATATCAAACCCATTTTCAGAATATATATAAAACGGAAATCACTAATAAGGTTGAGACGAAGAAGAGTACCAAGGTGTTGGCCTTGAAAAGGAAATGTGATGATACTCAGAACTGCGATCAAAGGTACCATAAAACATCACAGACGCAAAATGGTTATGTACCCAATCCAGGATAGTAAGGGTAGGCATAAAAAGCGGAGGACCCGAGTGCAATGTTCCTGTAAAATAACACCATTTTGATAAGCACAACTAAGTAAAATTCAATCAACTGACTTCGGAACCCACCCAATCTTTTCATGGGAAAACGGACAATGGCGTTTGTCGAAGGAAAATGTTGCAAACGCAGATAAAAGTGGTGGCAGGAAAAAGAATGGTAAAAGCTCATCCGGAAGTTGGTAGCTCCCAGAGGTGCTTAATCTACTTGACTCACTCGAACAAGAAGGCCAGTGGGTAACAAGCTTAAGAGAAACATATGCTAAGGACGTAGCAGTCGGAGGTTGGTAGATGAAGAGGCCGGGAACCGAAACCACGTCCGGGTTTGCATTTAGCCAAGGCAGAGCAGCAAGTACTACACCGAAAAATTAGTCATCGCGAATCACGCTCCCACAAGAAGAGCGAGAAGTGACTTACGAGGGATACAGAACATGAAATACTACCGAAGTTGAATTCCGTGTGTCAAATATCCCTTGTTGGAAAGTGAACGTGTAAGTTAAAACTAACTGACCAATATAAACAAGGCGAAGTACTCAGCTAACATTCAGACAAATGTTTGCTCGCACGATGCCGACGCAAGAACGCGGTTAGAAGGAACACACAAGAAACAAACCAATCAAGACAGTTTGCACAAGCGATAAACAGTCAAGCGACCTACTCAGGATTTGTCAGTGCGGATCTATAACGAAAACATTCTCCTGGATTTAACCCAAACCATCTTAACCGTTCATTGCTCACTTTTAACCTGATAGGTATTTTAACAGAGCAAAAACAACGAAAATTTCTACGGAACAATCCGAATTCAGTATATTTCGTGTATTCTCTTCAGCCGCTTATATAAAAAGGGTGAAAACTTCAAACGATTGGGAGTAATAAGTCAGAAATCCCTTAAAATTTTCACTCATTGTATGTAAGCGGCTGAGATGAATACTTGAAATATACTGAATTCAGACTATTCCGCAATGTTCGTTGTTCTTGCTCTGTTAAAATTGATAGGTATTGTTATGGCGGATAAGGAAGCCAAGTATCTATATCGGAAAACAAAGAGGCTCGGTGGAGGCGGATGCGAATAGGACAATGTTTCTACGAATGTAACATGCATGAGTGGCCGATAAAACGTTAGTGAACGTTAAAGAACACGAGCTGCAGATGGTGATCAGGGCTCTTCATATTTTAAGTGCTTTGGTGCAGCTAACAAAAATAATGGGAATGAAATTGGCAATCATTGTATTTGAACTGACAATTCATCGCGAAACACAATGGTGTGCATGATTTGAGTAGGGCATCGTGACGCACAAGAAAGCATTGCCTATGGAGTGCATTAAGTTAACGTCGATCAACCGTTAGGATCTCTCGATAAAACGGCACTACGACGTGCTTCACACGTGTGTGCTCAGGCTAGAACGGATGGGGTTACGCGGAGGCGCATATAGGGAACTTTTTTATCTTAGTGATCCGAGTCAAGAAAGTTGGATATGTTGCACACCGGCGCAAGGAGGACAGCTGGACCTAACCGGCGCATGAGTAGTGAAATGGTGAAATCGAGGTAGAGGATGGCCGAGAAACTGTCGTGTTGGCCCATGTCACCATCACCTAGGCGACTGTGAACGGCTATGCGAAATAAAGTCCAGACGCGGGAGTTTCGGTCACAGCGTTCAGTAATCCTTAAAATTTTGCCACACATTAACATCTCCTCTATTCCGTTATCTGAAGTGCGTGTGTGTGGAGAGAAGGTTAAGTCATGCAAAAGCTTGGCACTTCATTCACAGTTAGCAAACCGCACGTGACGTGAATCTTAAGCGGTTAAAGTCGAAGTCATCACAAGAATGTCTAAACAATTCGATCCACAGTGAGCAATCAGCTGGGGATGCGTGTGCTGAACATATCCTTGTGAGGTGTTGGTAACTCATGGCAATCGTGATGACTAACCATAACGCAGGTAAACACCTCGCTCCCTCAAAGCGCACAAGGAAAAGAATTGGCAACCAAAGCAACAAAATAAAGCAAAGTTGTGGTGTCACAAATGTCACGGGAAGAGGATAGTACGTGACAGACAATGGTCAACGAGAAGATAAGTAAAAAGAACAGTAACAAGTTAATCCGTGAAATGAATAGCAAAAGAGAACAGGAAAGGAGAAAATATGATAAGCACGGGCTGATTAACGATATGTGATGGACCGAGTTTGCGCCATAAAGAATGATGAAAAGACAGAAAATCAGCACAAAAAGTGAACAAATCCGTGTCGAAATAGTCGAAGCAGATGTGTTTGAACAACGGGTACTCAGTAAGAAGCACGAAGATGATTGGTGCACACGGTTACTTAACTACATAAAATTGCAAGTGTCCCTAACAGCCGGTGTCATGATCATCCTCCTTATACACGTTAGCTGCAGGTGGAAAACACATCAGCTATTGTGCCGCAATAAAAAAAACCAAGAGGCACGCCGTCTGAGCCCCCAGTAACGGATGGACATCGTTCAGGAGAGCTAAAAGCCGGTTATCGTGCCGCAAAAGGAGATTTATATTACGCCTAAGGAATGAGAACGTCATTGGTGGGGGAGGCTAAGCGGGAGGGGGATGGACAAAGGAACTCACAACACAAACGCCATTGGGGCCGGTTCCAAGCCATATCAGCAAGTGTGTCCAACCAAACGTCTTCACCGTCCTTGGGACTCCAGCCGGACAGCTGGTATGCACTAACCGACGCCAACTTCGAAGTAAGGGTTTTCATCTCTCTCGACCAAGTCATCGCTTGGCTTCCCCTCCTCCTATTCCAACCGCACCCCCGGCGCGCAAACAAAGCATGTCGCGGGAGTCGGTGTGCTGGCATGTGCAACACGTGGCCCAGCCATCGGAGCCCGGTGAGTGATACAATGGTGCCGAGCAGTTCACTCGCTCTTCCTGCACCAAATACTCGACGCCGAACACGCTCATTGCTCACGCGGTGCTCCCACCAGACATGAAATAAGCTGCGAAGGCAGCGATGACCGAATATGACGTGCCTCTTTATGTCTGTCGACCTGATGGGCTAGGTTTCACAACCATATAGGAGAGTTGAAAGGACGGCTACGTTATAAACCCTGCCCTTCAGAGCAAGAGTAATGTCGCGTCTGCGCCACAGGTGGCCGGGATTGGCAAAAGCACCTCGAACTTTTGTTATACGGTTCGTAACCTCATCTTCAATCCCACGGGTGCTAATATAGCTGTCCAGGTACTTGAATTCCTGAACGACTTCTAGCAGATCACCACAAAGCGTGGGCGCAGGGGTTGGTCCCTGCCAATCTTGGAGAAGAACTTAGCATTTCGATGGAGCAAAGCATAGTCCAAAACGATTGACAGCCAGTGCTAATCGGTCCATTGCAACCTGGCACGTTTGGGCGCTGTCACATATGAGGGCAATGTCGTCTGAATACTCCACGTCAAGAAATCGTTCACCAGGAAGTAACTCCACACTTAGATTGTGTCCAGCGAACGCTGTTTCCATGACTTCACCAACAGCGAAGTTCAAAAGGTAAGGTGACAGCGGGTAACCTTGTCTCACACCACTGGAGATACTGAAGGGCGGCGACAGTTTGCCACAAACCCTCACTCTGCCCGAACTATGCGCGTACATCGGTTTGATGATGTTTACATATCGGGCACACCTTCTCTCAGCAGACAGTCCCAAAGGGCACATCGATTAACTGAATCGAAGGCTGCCTTTGATGTCGAGAAACACGACAACGGTGGGTCGCCAATAAACGGCGGTGCTCCAACAATTGACGCAAAATGAAGATGTGGTCGATGTAGCCTTGATTTCGACGAAACCCAGCTTGCTCTTCGCGGATCTGACCTTCACGAGCGCCAGTCAGCATGTGGAGAACGACAGAGGCACCACCACACCGCCGGTGTGGTGAATCACAGATCTTATCTGAGGGAGGATAGGCACCAAAGCCATTCAGCCAAGTTCCTTGTAGTCTTTTACAAAATGATCAACCAATCACTTTGCGCGACAACGCGGAATAGCAGTGAACTAAAAACATTGAGGCAAGTAACCGGTGGACTCGTGAAGAACGTAATGTGAGTTTGGTATATGTTGTGACCTGGTTTTCAGAACAAGGCAGACCCATCAATGCTTTGTACTGCTGCCAAGCTACAAAACCAACAGAAAATGGGGCAGAGAACGCTGGCGATGGAACAGAAACGGACGGCATAAATATTGATGAACCAACGCCCAATGTCAAAGCGCCTACATCGTGTTAATCCACGGTCACAAAAGGCCGGGTATCGCACGAAGATAAGGTGGCATCGGTGAGCAGGTTTCCATACGGCTCAACCGTTACTAGTCGTGATCGGCATTATTGGAAGATAACTCTGCATTCTAGACATGGTAAGCGGTCTGGCTACCAGGTGATCGCAAGCACGTAACTGACGCTGACAGAGATTTACGTTCTGCAATACACAGACGGGTCGCAGACTCCATCCTGAAGGACCAGAAAGAGCAACAGCACGTATTTTAGTCACCAGTGGCTTCACTTCCCAACAAGGTTTGAAAAGCGTGCAGGCATGCACAGCAAGCCCCCAATTGAGTTTTATTTATGGATATAACCGCCTAGCACTTGAAAACTCACTTCCTAATTGAGGACACACAGATGCCACTGAACATGAGCAATGTTCCTTAAGTAACGAGAACTCAGAAATTAATTACGCCAGACATTCACGGAGAGCAGGGAGTGAGTTTCATTGACGCAAGAGGGTGAAATCTTTACTATGGTACTGCGTATATACCAAGTACATGAAGACAGATTCCATTCTGTATTAAACAAAAGGCATATTCATAAAAGCACTTCCACTTTTACGACAAAGACTGAATATCGCAGTCATATGTGTGCCGCTGCAAATGCGACTGCAATGTTACGTGAATTGATCAGCTAATCACGTTTGTGATTATGTAACTGCCATTTATCAAATAAGCTGTTGGTGGAGTACAAGAAGCCGCAACGGCGTTTACTGAGGAATGAAACGGTGAAGCATTGGTCTAAGAGGAAAATAGATGGATTTTGCTCATTCGAAGGACTTATGTAGTTATTTTAACAGAATCAACGGTACACGTGTAGCGTTAGGTAATCACATGCGAAGGATTGGGGAGATGTAGACGCAACATCTCAAAGGAAAACGGTTTGAAGTGGACATTAGTCAAGTGCAATAAAAATTGGTAAGGGACATTTGCCGCGGTTATATTCCGGAAAGCCATGTCGCTAAAGGAGTAGATGAACTCCGGAAGTGCCACACGATTATGTCGCAGTAGATTGCGAAACATGCAAACAAGCGCATCATGTGAAGAGAGAACTCCAATATTGCGAAACTGTAAGGAAGATACCCAAAGTAAATATAGGCCTAATGTGGAGCGCTCTGACTCATTTGATCTGGAATCTTTTCATTCAAATCAGAGCACCTACACGTGCACACATTCCCACAGATATTGTGAACTGTTGGATAACACGTGAGGTCAATCATGGTAATCGCGCACTGAATATGAGAACGGAATGCTAAATAGTAATAGTATACGTGTAACTTGTACGAACACGAGAGCGTTGCCTAGTTAGAGATTACAGCCACAAGCTCAATAGATGCCACGTAACGAAGGTGCGATGCGTGAGGCTCGCGTAGATAAGCTGATACGCGCACGCGAGTTAGCGATGCAGTTTCGCCACTCAGTGAACTGGGGTGTCAAAGAGCAATAGAAAATGGCTTGCTGTTTTCTTGTGAAACACTAGTAATAGGACTGTCGATGTGCTCGGCACTCGGTATGAATAGAACGCCATCAAACCGAAAGGTAGTCAAAATGTAAAGCCCCAAAAGTAGTAACTCACGTCTTGTCGCTCTCGCTGTTCATAGAATAAGAAATCATCAAAAATGGATAGGGTGTGAGAGTAGTTCGCAAACACTTCTGCCACCTGTCGGCCACGTTCTAATGGTAGCTCCGTAGTGTCCCGAGAGTGAGTCACCGGTTTGTTCTCATTGGTTTCCACTCGAATGTGACGAAGTGCAGTGTTAGGGACATCCTTGACAAAAATCCATCGCACAGAGAAGGCACCTTGCCACTTGTCTTGTGCCCAAACACGCACGCGGGTGTCGTAGTCCACACGTGAGGTCATTTCGGCCATCCCACAAAAATGGCCAGATCCGTTGACGGAGAAAAACAAATAAATGGGGAACTGGTTGTTAGCGGCCACGAAAGCTGCGTCCAGCTTTTTGTTTCCTAATTCGGTTGAACACCACACGGCGTACTTGATGGAACGGTGGATGTCATCCTCGGAAAACGATTTAATGACAAAGAATCGAGCCTTCTCGATATTCGTATCAAAAGTTGTCGGATTGATCGATTTTGCCAACCGCTGGTACAATGCTTCCGATTCTCGCCGTAATGCTTGCATGGACTCGTTGTAACCCAGGGTGTCGTTCTTGCCCGAGGAGACAGCAACACCAGAAGGATCCTCAATGACACCACCACTGTCCGCCGAACGGTAAGATGGGTGCGGATGACTTGTCGACTTTTCAATCCCATTGCTGGCCGTGGACGCGTGTGTTGATTTGCCACCCGTTGCGCTGGCAATGGTCACAGTTCCGTGGGGAACTGCAGTGCGGTGGTTGTTGGGATTGAGCACTTGACCTGGCATTCGTTTCGCAGACCAACCTGTAGTCGAACCAATTAAGACAGCCGCAGAACCCCGGGGAGGCTGCCCAGCAATGTTGGCCCAAGTTTTCATACGCGGACCATCACTCAAAGGGGCTGGTGATGACTGGGGTTTAGCACAACCAGAAGTGACATGAAGGTGGTTAGTTGAAACAGCAGAATGTGAGGCAACGTTCGACCGTATGAGGCCCCCAGTGCGACTATCCATAGTTTCCGTAGTAAGCTGAAAAGATGAACGAAATTTGATGGACAATGTCTGGTCATCGAATAATTTGTCCAAAGGCACAAAATCTACACAAATGTTCAGTTCGATGAGAAACTCATGTTGTCGGATAGGTCAAAGTGAGAAATTCGACGGTATTTTGAACCTAGATAAAAACGTACCAGGTATCTTTCTGCGGCTGTTAACAAGTAGTATAACTGCTCAGCGTCTACTAGTCAATAGAATGCATTCATTCATAAGAGCATGAGCATGCTGACTAAAAATAGGAAGTCGAAGAAGTCGCTTCAAATTAGTCCAATGATGTTCGAACTGAACATCGCCATATCAGTCTGGCAGCATGATGTCGAGTCGGGTGTTACTAAACTGGCCGGTGAATGACGAAAAAGTCATAATCATTAGCGTTAGGTTACACGAGGGGCTTAGTGCAAATATTTGGTTTTCGTCCTTTTAGATTGCGCGACCCAGGTACATGGGGCATGAGCAATACCAGACTAGCAGACTGACTGTGTAGACTCAGTTGACGCAACCGTTTTGTACAAAACGCCAAATGGGCGTCTAGCATATTTAGCAAGTGAAGTAGCTTAAACTAAAAGTAGTTATCAGGCGCTGCTCACAAGCAAGATTGCCAATCAACGGAGGGTGATATTAAGTAAAATAGTCAGCTACAGAATGCGGGCTGGTAACATGTTTAGAACCGGTGATAAAATGTTTGCAATCAAATTGCGGCACTGGATGAGAGAACTAACAAGTTAGTGACGAAAATGTAAAACTTGAAAATGGTACCGGTTGGATGTCTTTTCTGTAACCATTCGCATAACTGGTCCGGAGGAGTTACTTGTGGGACATGCGGAATACCCTGAATTTATCACTCAGTTCAATGAGAAGTTTAAAAACTAGGAATTATTATGACGAATATATTTCTGTAATTGCTATATTTCTTGGTAAAATGCAGACATTATTGAGATAGATGGCACAGTTCGAGGGGATTGTGCATGATAAAGAGAGAGAGAATACAGAGAATCGAAATGGTTCGATGACTAAATCCTTCATTCATAGCAGACAGGCAATGGTTACGACACTAAAGTGTTACGTCTACTTAAAGAAATTCCCATCCGGTAACCCTTAGGCACTAAAAACGCGAGATGAAAATGGTTGAATTAGCCACAAAGCCATCAAAGAACTCACTATGGTATTATCTGGTGCATAACCCCACTGAGAGGTCACCGCACGCTGCCTGTAGGCCATGTCGGTTTGAGCAGAAGCACTGGGCTGGAGTGCGTGTGTCACATCCGCATTTTGATATTCTTCTACTGTTAAACGGTTAAACTCGTCCATCAAGCGTTGCTGTTCCGGATGTGGGTGAATTCCCTGGTGCGCGGACAAAGATTCATGTTTGTTGTTTCGCCGTAGGGGGACGTACGAGTCCGCCGAAGTTGGCTGACCATTCGTCATACTTCCATTGACTTGGTGTATCGTGGAAATAGGGGCGAGGAAGTGAGTGTTCTCGGTCAACTCATTCATCTGTGGTACGGGGTAAGATTGGGATACCACTTGGTCACCACTAACTACACCACCATAATTGGCCATCATTGACTCGCGCACATGAGGAGGGGCATAATAGGCAACGTGCGAGGTCTTCTGCGCTCTCAAACCATCATCGGGTGACGCTTGTATGTAATGACCGGGATTCATTTGCAAAGCGCTCGAATCAGGTGGCTTAGCATCATGAGCAATAGCAGATGCTGGCCACCCGTCGACCAAATGGACCAAACCACCACCTGGAGCGGAAGTGGCAGTGTTGTACTGAGTCCGAACAGAATAAGGCCATGCAGAAATGGCCGCGGCTGTTGTCGAAAAATGTCCATCGTTTGTATATAGACCAGTGTTCAATGGTGCACGCATGGCATTGCCACTGGGTTGTCTGGGGGGTCGGTAGTACATGGAAGTATAATCTGATTGGCCTGTGTTTGACATGTAGGGTCGTCCGGCAGAGACGGTATTTGATGGCTGGACCGGTGTGATTTGTTGGGGATGCATTGGGTAGGCAGCTGCAGCTGCTGCAGCAACAGCGGCCAGAAGCGTTGCGGCATAAGGAGAGGATGTGGATGAGGCGTCGGGAGTGCAAGGTGTAGGGAACTCATGCAAAGTACCCGCCTGATGTGGCGGTCCGAGTAACGGGCCTGAGTTTTGCGGATAGCCTGTAGGACTCATCGAGGCCCAATCGGTGTTGATTCCGCTGACAGCAGCCATTGCGGCCGCTACGGCTGTTGAGTCCGGATTTATTGTCGCTGTGGAAGCACCGTTCTCTCCCATTCCGTAAGAAAGGTGCGAAAACAAAGCGCCATAATATGTGTCGGCCGCATTTGTCATGTTTCCATAGAGATTCTGTAAAGATGAGTAAATGGGCGGTAATAGAGATGAGTGCCCTTATGCAACAAAGAGAGGGTCTTATACAAAATGTAGATAAATTAATGAAACGAAAGAATGGCATGACGGTGAGTTTTAGTGAAGCCATAATGGGACAAGCATGTGGGAAGTAAAAAAGTGAACAAGAACTGGATCCCCAGAGCTAAATGGATCATATGAGCAAAGAGAAAGAAACGGCAATCTCGGTTATGGGTTGATGAGAAAACATGGGGAACTGGAAGAAAGGGTAAAAGGGCAGAAGATAGGGAAGCACCCTAGCTAGGAGTGGCCGGATAAGGTCGAACGATGGGTTGGTTAGATGAGGAAAGTAACTAGCAGCCCTAAACATAATGGGAGTTAATTGCCCTGTTAGCGTACGTAGTCCGTTCAATCGCAAGGAATGAGCATAGGGTTGGATCTATAGGCTCAATAAAAAGTGCCACAGGAAGCATGGAGGGTTTAAAAAACCGTCTGTTTGGCCAGACAGCACAAGCAAAAACTTTTCAATATTCGGAGTGCAATTGGATGTTCACATATTAGCGCAGCAAAACTGGAAATTTGTAACTATGCACGTTCGAGTGCATTGATAATGACACCGCCGCTGTACAGAACCACGAGAGGGCTGGTAAGCATTCAGCTTCTATGGCAACTAGTTTGGTCGATACATCAAAGCAATGTAGTTTGCATAAAGAAGTGGCAGATTACTGGGAGTATGTTAACGGATAGGACGGAATTGTGATGAACTACTTAATGACTGGAGCAAGATGCAATACTTCAGTTATCCGCGCATTGGATGGCTGAGTTGTCCTAGAGGCTGAACCTAAGCGTCAAAAAAGCGGTGACCCCGATGGATCCACAGAAATAATAATAATACGAATATTTCTCCTGATGCGAGAAACCGTCTGTACAGAAGTATCCCTGCTCTTGCATGGGTGACATGCATAGGTGGAGTATTGGGCTGTGTTTTATGTAGTAACGTTCTAGTGGATGGTTGCGGCAAAAGCCCAGTTCCGAAAACATTGGAGTTTAGATGTTTTGGTCCCTTCTTGGAAACGATTATCGAGGAATTTTCCAAGTGAATATAGCGAAGATAGAGTCTGCTTCTAAATGTTGCCACATTGTTAAATAAGCTGTGCTATTGGCAGTTTATTCCACATGCAGCTATACATACTCCAATCATATAAGAGGAGCGCAAAAAAGCGAAAAAACAAACTGGTGATAAAAGCGCATCGTTAAGTCTCCACGGTGACAGGAGGAGCCATATGCGGGCTTTAGATGACTGCAGTTAACAGATTGTAGTCAGACACCATGATATTACTGGGCAGAAGAGAGACAGGAACTTAAGGTATCTTTTATACATCTACGTTTGTCTAAGTAAAACAACGATGGGATGTAGCAGTGGAAAGCAGTTGAACTCTCTCGGTCGAGCAGGGATACCACGTAGTCATGCAACTCTGTTCAATTCATCAAATGTGAGACAAGTCGCTATGGTCGCGTCAAATAAAACAAGGGTACAACAAAAGTGTACGAAAGGCAAAATGGAGACGAATGGGAGTAGAGACAAGAAAAAAGTATAAATTCGTCCAATGGACGGAAGATTAGTGAGAAGAACCAAATGATGTCCGGTGCACTTCAAAACGGTCTCGTTGAAGACGCAAACAATGTAGTCACCCCAATAAAACTAGTCAGCCAATCGGATATTTGTCAGTGCGCTGCGGTCTCGCATACTTAGTTCGGTAAATCAGATCGCGTCAGCTCAAGCAAGATAAACGGTTGCAAAGAGATGGTGGTGAGGATTGAAAACTGCACCAACTGAGGGGATAAGTGATGTTAAGGTCGTCATCATCATCATCAGCAGCAGCATCAAACACGCTGAGTAGAGGCGGAAAACACTTCAGCTATTGTTCCGCAATATATGAGAAAAAAGAAAACACCTGCAACCGAGGCACGCCAGCTGAGTCACTAGTAACAGGTGGGCATCGTTCCGGAAAGCTAGCAATCTGTATTGTGACGGAAAAAATTATATGCAAAATTCATAATATGCTGGGAAATAAGATCGTGGTTTGACGGGGAGGCTAAACAGGAAGGGGATGGACGGAGAAACTCACAACACAAACGCCACAGAGGTCGGCTCCAGTTATGTCAATAAGTGTCCAACCAAACGTGTTCCTCGTCTTTCGTACTCTAACCAGTGAGCCGAGAAGCTCCAACCGAGGCCTAATTCCAACTAAGGCTCTTCATTCCATAAGCCCTCTTCAAGTCCGAGGGATCTGCTCTTGTTGGTAGTTTACACGAATTACAAGTGATACTGTGGGAGCAAGAAACTATCTCAACCGGCTGGAGTCGCTCCGTTGTTGTTCATGTAGGCTCGCATTCGGAATGCGGCAACCATAGAGGGACCAGTACGATCTCCATCGTCTCCAAATTGCTTGCTTTCCTTCGCATAATGACTAGCACTTGTGAAGGCCAGAGCGTGAGGAGCAAGCCGGGTTGCATCAAGGTCGGGCTGGGTCGACTACATCTTCAACTTGAGCCAAAGGTTAGAGCACCATCATATAAATTAGCCATCCACCGTTGTCGTGTTCCACGACATCAAAGGTGCCTTGAATTCAGTTGATCGATGTGCCCTTTGGGACTGTCTGCTAAGGAAAGGGGTGCTCGCTAAATATGTGGACATATCTTTGATTGAGTGTGGGCTTTCAGCAACCCATCACCACCCTTCAATATCTCCAGCGGTGTTGGACAAAGATGGCCGCTGTCACCTTTCCTCTGCAACTTCGCCACTGAGAAATTCATAGATAAAGCGTTCACAAGACACGCTTAGTAGGTGTGGAGCTGTTCCCAAGTGAACGAGTACTTGCCCTCAAATGTGACAACTCCCAAACGTGCCAAGCGGCGCTGGACAGATTAGCACTGGCAGTCGGCCGTTTCGGGCTTGGCTTTGTACCAGCTAAGTGTAGAAATATCATCCAAGATAGGCAGGGATCGCTTCCGGCGCTGATCCTTGATGCGGATCAGCTAGACGTAGTTAAAAAATTCAACTACCTAGGCATTCGTATCAGTGTTGCTGGAATTGAAGACGAGGTAACCAAACGTCTAGTAAAAGCACGAGGCGCTTTTGCTAACTTGCCCCACCTATGGCGCCGGCGCGACATCAACCTCCCCCAGAAAGGTAGAGTGCATAATGTAACCGTCCGTTCGACCATGCTGTACGATCGTGAAACCTGGTCCATTCGATCAGGCGACATAAAAATGCTGGCTACGTTCGACTACCGGTGCCCTCAGTTCAGTTAGTTAGACAAGAAAAATCGGAGCACCGAGGTGAAGTGGATCCAGTTGCCACGACTCACGTCGCAAGAATAACAATAAGTAACAACGCCAAGATATTGGGATGGCATGTAAATAGAATATGAACAAAATGGAAGCCAGAAGGAAGTGCAGTAAATTAACCAGAGCGGAACGGAAATTAACAAAAAATGCAAGAAAACGAATTCACTAATGCCTGCGCCAGGTCGGATCCGGCCTCTAACCATCAGTGTGGACCATACCGAGGCACCTATCTCAGAAGACCGCACGCACCAGCATGACCAAGTCTCATTTAGTTTATGCATGCCTCTATGACACGTCATGGACTGGTCACCTCGCGATTTCGCCCAAATTAGTGCAGCCACGGTGCAGAATGCACGCCGAAGAAGCCGATCAAGGGGCATACGGAGGCTTGAATTTAGTAAACACCTGAGTGAGAAACCAGAAGGCTTCTTACCGAAAACCAACTGGCGGACATCAGCATTGCTCACTCGGTGTACCCGCCAGACGTGAGCAATACTCCACAAGCAACGGTATTCAAACACAGCCAAGCGTATAATGTACTCGCCGCGAACTGGCCAGATCGCTGCGAGCGGAGACATACGATTGCATTGGCGGGCAACCGTATGGTGGGTGATGACCTGGAGTGTAGGAAGTAGTAGGTTAAGGGAAACGGGGAAGGGGATAATATATATATATATATATATATATATATATATATATATTTATATAGTTGGCGGCATCTAGTTTCGGATTTGCCTGTCACTGTGACCAGCCACAGGACGCCTGCGCCTACAGAGGGACCATGGATGGCTTGCGCTGCACCACCCACAGCTCCAACCACACACCCCATATCCAGTGTGAACCCGAAGGAATAAGACCGGGAGGCATGTGGATGGGAGCCACGTTTCATTAACGAAGCGGGCTCGCACTCCTTCACAGGCAAACACAAGCACGTGGTATTTGGGGAAACAAGCGCACACAAGGCGGTGGCTGGACCGTAGACCGCTCCACACTAAGTACATCGAACCGCTCTTCGAGCATAGCACGGCCACAAGGACCGTGCATCCCGTCCCCTCCAGCAACGATCAACTGTCTCCTGGAGCCAGTATGGACGAGGTAGTGGGTAATAGACAGGTAGGCACCTTGTCAACATGTACATCAAGCGCAGCCACACCGGGGATATCAAGCAACAGCCAATCACCTGAAATGATAAGATGAAATAAAATAAATCCAATAATGCATACAGATACGGTGGCATAACTCTTCCCTAAATTACCATATGAAGTTGGTTAGCAACGAATCTGCGATAAGTAAGAAATGTCCACAAGTTAGTTAAAATTGCTACAAAACGCAACAAAGTTGCTGAAGATAAGCGCAATTAGCGTAAGCGACGTGGTCATTTTATAGATTATTCAGGTAGGCAGAACAAACCAAATAAAATGAAATGAAATTTATCCAACTTAATAAGACCTAGTTTAAGTGTAAGCTAGTTTGGCCCAACTGCAGTGAAGAAGCATTAATAATGCAATATCAGCATCAGCATAGGGCAATTATATATATATATATATATATATATATATATATATATATATATATATATATATATATATATGCAAATTATACCCTTCTCCGTTTTCCCTAACCCACTACCGAGAAATGACGTTTTTGTA